GCCAAGGCAGAAAACATGTGGCTAAACAAGGGCCCAGGATAAACAAGGCAGTCCCTTGTGAGAGTTCTGCCTGCCACAGAGTTAACATTTTGTTGCTGTTACATGCCGCTGAGTCAGAATCAATTTCTAGGTGGCGCGCCAGCAGGCTATCAGAGGCCGAAAATCGCAAGGCAGGATTGTCCATCCTTCTCACCAAGGGGCTGAGGGCTGAATCGGAATCGCTGGCCTTCGGGTTGGCAGCACAACTCCTTGCCCACTAAGTCACCAGAGCCCCTCATCATTTTTAAAACTGAGATAAAAATCACGTTTTCAAAGTTACTAATATTCTCAAGGCTAAGCAACCATCACAAGGATCTAATCCAGAACAGTTTCATCACCTTACGTCACCTGCTCTTAGTCACCCCCACCCATCCCTTTTCCTCAGGCCCTGGTGATCACAAATGCGCCGCCTCTGCTCATTTGCCTGCACTTCTCTCACGTAAATGGAACGGGTGCGTCTGTTTACTTCGCACTGTTTCTGCAGTTCCTCTCACTGCAGGATGTCACTAATACACCATTCCTCTTTGTGACTGTGTATTATTTCCTACAATTCACGTTCTAGAAACCCAACCAATGTCCATGTGAGGTGGCTTCCGTGCTCCTGACATTCTCATATCCATGCCTCTGGGGTCCCATTTCAAAGAGCATCTTCCCCAAGAGTATTTGTTTTCATAGAAACACTGCATGCCTCTTTGCATAACATGTCATTTACACAGCAAATCTAGGGAGCTCTTCGTGTGGCTGCAGTGTCCCTTGTAAATGAAGGTATCATTTTGGCATTTAGGGATCTTCTGTCTTTCGGCAAGAACCAGGGTCTAGCTGACCAATCCCATGCAGTTTAACAGCAAAAATGCCATCAGTACTCTCATACTGTCGCTGTTAAAGCAACATTATGTGGGACGAAAGGAAACACTGTCATGCCCCTGCTGTCCTCAGTCACTGTTTCTAATTTGCTGACTCTCTTTACATTTTCAAGCAGAATGCCCCCTCTCTAGTAATGTTCGTCGTAACTTCTGGAATTGTCAAGAAAAAAAGTCAAGAATAAACTTTTAGGAATTGTCTTCTTCTGAATAAAAATTAAGAATGAGCTTTTACCTTTACACTTAATATTTAGTTATTTCATTATCCAAAGGTAGGCGATACTGATTAAGTAGCCCTTGGCCTCCACAACTGAGGACTCTAATATAGGAACTTAAGATGGATTGGATTTTTCCTTTAAAAAGATCAATTTTGCTGACCAGGGAATTTTCCTAAGCAATTCGACCAGGTTTAGGCTTGGAATCACTTGCTGATGACTGCAATCGAAGAAAAACAACTGTTAGTAGTAGCAATCAGTTAAAGAAAACCACTTAACTCCCCGTATTTCTGTATTTTACTGTGGTGATAAAAAGGAAATGAATAATGCACACCACACACACATATTCACTCTCTGCCTCCCCAAGTTCTACCACATAATATTTGCAGAAAGGTATATTGATCATAATAACAGGTTTGGAACTGTGGGTATGGAGTGAACATATTCTACTGATCAAAACTTTAATTTTAGCTCCAGATATGACCAGCTGAATGTATGAGCTCTGATGACAAGCAAGCAGTTCCTGGTATCACGGAGACATTTCAGTCTATAAGGTGGAATCTGTCTATGAAAGGGTTATCAGTCTTGTGCCCCTGTTGGCAAACTGATGAACCGTACCAGGAGTTTTAGTTTATTTTCAAAGTCACTTTTAAACTAGATTCCAGGGGACCTGATTTAAAACATAGGCATCTGGACGTTGTAATAAAAGAACCAAGATGTAATATAAATTCTACTGTACCTAAAGATTGAGATTTATCTCCGTGATAAAACTTTTATTGTGCAATTTTGAATTGAATACAAATTCACATTCCTTTCTCTCATACTTGTTTAGCAAGTTATTAAACAGACTAGAGATTTCATCTGGAAATAAAGACTAAAAGTAACACAATGCAATTTACTGTTATAAACAAGCTTCATTATATAACAACTTTCACAAAAAAAGACATACAAAAATGAAAGTCATAACTCATTTATTGAATGAATAGTATATGCAAGAATACCAATAAAAGGAAACTAATACTACAAACTACAATTCTGAAAACAAAGCCAATATAACAGGAACAAAATATACATAACATGAGAGGAATGTCTGATTTTTGACCCATGATGCATTCCTTATCATTACAATGAACCTAAGTGTCCATAGAACAAAACGGTTTACCTTGGTCTAACTTTATTTAACGCTTTATAAAAAAGAAACAACACTCCAGGACATTTTTCATTTAGCTTTGAGATATTTAAGATTCACACATTTGTTCAAGTACATAGATTCTGATTCAACAGTAGATCTACATATCTCGCTGTTCTCTTAATATCTTGAGTAGCATCCCCTGAGGGAGTACAATCTGTAATTCTAAAATTGTTGATCTTGGAACTAAAATTAATTTCAGTTGTGGGTTTTTAATAAATTGAGATGAAAGTAAAACTCACTCCCCTCCTCCCCTCCCCCCAGGAAAAAAGAATTCTTATTAAAGTATAGAAACTCAAGTCTAGCTTTCTACTCTAAAGAACATTTCTTACTAACATTTCTGGTAAGGCAATAAATGCTCCAGAATAATCTTCAATATACGCTTGCAAAGATTACACTGTGTAATAGCAATAACAAAAAAACAAAACAAAAAAGGGGAAAACAAAAAAGGAAAGAAAAGACGCTTTCAAAAATTTCAAGCTAAAATATGCATAAAAGACAGCAATGGCAGTATTTTTTTGAAATGATGTAAATGTTGTATACTTATCAAATAATATCATGCTTATTAAAACTACAGTTAAGGACTTAAGAGATGTACAGTAAATACACTGCTGAGGTACATTTTCTAAATGTCAACATCACAATGTAATTACTACCTGGAAGATGGTGATGCTACTTGGGAACACAAGTACTGTACAATTTTTACATTGTAAGGCACTTACTTTTACTCAGCATGTAACCAACAAAAGGGATACAGAGTGAAAACTGTAAATTGTAGGTTTACAACAAAAGATGACTTTTCATATGACTTCAATTTTTTTTTTTAACAAAACATTATTAGCCAATCACACAACACAGTGAGAGAAATAGGTAGCCAGCCACTTACCTAGCCAACCAAAAGGTAAAGTGCTATTCTGGTTGCTAGTGGCAGAGAAAGGGTTCAAGAAACCCATATAAACTCACAGATTTTACTACATAACAAACCCATCATTTGACAGCTATCGTAGTTGAAGTCTGTAACTTGATTATTGACTGGCCATTATTACCCCTGACACCTTCTATTTTTCCTAAAAAATTAATTACAGTAGTTGTCCAAAAATGAAGGCGCTCTATTATCCCATGGGTAAGTCTATGGCACACAATGTAAAAAAGATCTAGACACAGTGATAGAAGATTTAAAATAATGGTTTTCAAGCTGTTGTAAGGAAATAAAGTACAGATCCTTTGGGAAAAGTCATAATATCTTGGTAAACAAACATCTAGATCTGTCCTTGCACTTCAAGTCATGGTGAATTTTGAAAATTAATCACATACATACACACACACCCCAACCTCCCCTCAATGGCATATTTAGAACCAAAAGAGAAAAACATGAAGGGCAGTCCACTACTAAAGCTAGTTCTTTCTAAAAAGAATAAAAGATGGTTAAAATAAAGCAGTCACAGAGTCCCTTGATGTAAGTAAATTTGTGAATATACACTTGACAAACATGATTTGAAGGGACTAGCAGTTTTTTTTAAAAAAACTCCGTCATTAAGCTAAAAGCCAAACCCACTGCCCTCCAGTTGAGTCTGACTCACAGTGACCGTACAGAACAGATCGGAGCTGCCCAACAGCGATTCTGAGGCTCTGGAAATCGTGGTGGAAGAAGACTGTCACATCGTCCTCCCACTGAGCGGCTGGTGGGTCCAAAGAGCTGACCTTTGGGTTTCCAGCTGAGCATTTTCACCATTCTGCCATCCTGGCCCCATTAGTGACTAAGCACAGTTTAAGCTTTCTTCTGTTTTCTTTGAGAAAAGCGTTCCTGTCGGCTGCAGAATGTCTTGATGTATAATCAAGTTAATTCATTATTCTTTGTGTGCCAATTAGCTTTAGCATGGCACATTACCTACGAATCCAGGAATCTGAATCTTTATCCTTGCTGTTGAGGCGCTATATGGTAATATCAGGCAGACCACAACTCGAGTTTTTGGTTTTGCCATAAAGAAATATATAAATGTGCTTCAGCAGGTAAGTGGAAGAAAACGTCACTAGTTAGAAATGCCAGTGTGCAGATCATGTCTAAATGCTAGGTCCTTAGGCTCTGATAAACAATTGTGGTTCTCAATCCATGAAACAACACTGTGTTCTAGCAGAAGAAAAAAGTAGGGCATAGAAGCCTATTTAGTAGATATCCAAAGCAATGAATGAAAACATTTAAAAATATTAAATAACGTTTCTAAAATAGTGGTCACAAAATTGAAAATAAATACTGCTCTATGCAAAGACTGGGTTGTTGTTTTTTTTCCCCTCCCAGAGCAGATGAGACCTCCTCGTGCCCATTATGAAGTGTTTCACACGACAGGGCACTTGAGGGGAACGGGGTGATAGGAGACAGGGTGCCTAAAGTTCTTAGGGAGTGGTAACCCTTGAACTCCTAAAAAGGTTTCATTTGCTGCCAAATGTTACTTTAAACTTGAGAAGAGTCAATCATTTTCCAGAAGCTCTTTGAAAGACATGGAAAGAAGCGGTGTATTTTCAAGCAGATTTTGGCATAAGCAGTGGCGCCATAGCTTAGAGTTGCCCGAGTCCGTGCTGGTCGGTGAAGACTTTAAGCAGAACCAAATAAAAAGCTTTATAGCACGCTCCTCGGCAGGGATTTTTAACATGTGCTGTCAAAGGTGGCGGGGGGTGGGGGGGGGAAGGCTTTCTTCACTTCTAGCTGTCATTACTTGAAAGTGAAAACAAGCAATTCACAAATGACCACGTTGCCACCAGAGGCAAATTTGTACTGTGAAAGTAAAATCTGCTTGGGCCTTCTTTTGCATACGTGCTGTTACAAAAACTGAAACCTTTGAAACAGTAGAGCATTGTTCAATTCAGATGTACAGCTTACTTCATTTCAAGGTCTGCTTCAACTGTTGACACTGTACATAAGGGTAATAGTGTTCAATTGCTTCCCAGAAACGGCAAAACTACAGCTACGCAAGATCCAAGTCACACTGCCATCTAGTGAAGGCTCATAGCACAAACAAGACATTTTTTTAGGCAGTTCAGTAAAGGATTTAAGAGTTGGGCAGTAAAAAGTTACAAACCCTTTTGAATTTTAGAAAACAGTGAAAAAAGAATAGTAGTTATGGATGTCTTATTCATTCCCAGTTTTCTAACTCTGTCCCATGAACCTGTTCAAAAGATGATAAAAAAAAATGTAAAATATGATGCTTTAAGGGAGGGGGGTGGAGAATCCCACAATAAATGTTACGGAGAAGTGAGACTATCTTATTGATTTTACATAGAACTACATTTAATGATAGAGTATATAGTTTGTTTTTACTGGTATAACAATCAGCTAGTTAAAACCCGACAAACTTATACAAGCCTATATGATCCTCTGCATTAATCAGAGTAACACATCCTCGACTAAACATTGGCATTAAAGTCTTGCTGCATGCCACTCTAGCAACTGTATCTACCAATGTGTCCCGTACCTTGACAAGAGGTCTGATAAAATGAGTTTTCATACCTAGTTTCCATTAAGCTGCTGCTGAGTTAGTTGCTGATCAATTTCTACTTTTCCACGACTTTTACTTTCTCGTTCCTCGTCTTCCTCATCTCTTTCGTCATTTCCACTATGATTTTTACAATATAGTCTACAAGAAGAAAACACAAAACATTCAAATGTTTTTGGTCACTGTGGATGAGAACGTACTTATGTCATCCTGAATGGATGAAGCTGGTACCCATTTCAAAGATGAGTTTCCTCATTCACGCTTAAACTCTGCTCCACAGTGAGTTACAGGTTTACCTAGAGCAGTGTCAAAGATGACAGGAAAGCACCTACGATGGAGAAATGTAAGTTTGTCAGCCTACAGCTCAAGATGACCACTAAAATGGCCACATATGCCCAAACATGAAGTTATTCATCGCTTAGCCCAATGAAACCCAAGTTTTAGACCAATTTGAAGTTATCAGGTACACAAATAAAAAAATGTAATTGTCATATGCACAAAATTGATAACTACATTTCCAGAAACAGTATATATTTTACATGCTGCCTCCTTCCACTTCCATTTCATCAAACACTATTCAAAATCTTCCAAGGCCTCTTCGAACCCCTTTATCTATCATTTGCCTGGCTACCTTAATCTAGATTGTTGCTGTTGTTGTTAGGTGCTGTCAAGTCTCCTGTGACTGACTCACGCGACTCTATGGACAGCAGCCTTAAACCCTGCTCTACCCTGTGCTAATCTTACTGTCTGACAAACCTACCCCCATTACCCCACTGAATTAATCAATCTCACTGAGGGTCTTCCTCTCTTACACTGACCCTCCACCCTCCCAAGCATGACGTCCCTCTCCAAGGACTGGTCCCTCATTGCAACATGCTGAAAATGTCAGGTGAAGCTTCAGAATCCTTGCCTCCAAGAAGCAGCCCGGTTTTACCTTCTCTAGGATGAATCTGTTTGTTCTTCTAGCAGCCCATGGTATATTCAATACTCTTCTCCAGCACTACAGCTCAAAGGCATCTGTTCTTTTTCTATCATTCCTAGTCCTTGTCCAGCACTCTGATGCATAGCAAGTAACTGTGAATGCTATGGCCTAGATCACGATCCCTTCAATTTGTCTGACAGTGGCTTTTATGTAAAGACAAGTTATCTATCTATTATACAATCTGGATTTCTCTGATTGCTTCCTTCCTAGTATTGTCTTATTTCTCTCACCAGGGGATCCCTCTAAACTGGAAGCAAGATCTAGGGGCTTGGTTAGCTTCAGGTCAACTTTTATTTTTTTTTCAGGTCAACTTTTAAAAAAATCAGGGACACTTTGTATGGGATTCTGCATGCTTAAGTAACTTTAGACTGTACTAATATTGGTGTGGTCACAAACAGCTGTTATTAATGTGCCATCAAGTCAGAACAGATTCATAACTGATCCTGCAGGTATTCAGAAGCTATAAATTACACCGGAGGAGAATGCATGTTTTTCTCTCATGGAGTCACTGGTGGAAAATGCTAACTGAATGCCCTCTTGTGGTCAAAGTTGTTCTGTAGTGCTGTCAAGGAGAGTACGAAACACAGCGACAATATGAACAACAGATCTGAACACTGTGCTATCCTGTGCCAGCCCCATAATCTCTGACACATGAAAGCCCACTGCTGCGGTCACTGTGTCAATCCACCTGGTTAAGGGTCTTCCTCTCCTCTGCTGTCTCTCCACCTTTCCAAGCATGATGTCCCTTTTCAAGGCATAGCTTCTCCTAGCAATATGACCAAAGTATGTGAAACAAAGCTTCACCATCCTTGCCTCCAAGGAGCACTCTGGCTGCACCTTCTCCAAGACATATCTGTTTGTTATTTTGGCAGTCCATGGGATAATCGAAAGTCTTCTCCAATACTATCATCTGATTCATTGTCCAGCTCTCAGATGTATAGTAAATAACTGAAAAGGCTATGGACTGAATCAGGCACACCTTAGTCCTCAAACTAACATCATTACTCTTCAGTAATTTGGAGAGATCCTAGACTACAGACATTTCCAAGGCAATGTCTCCAAGTGTATTGATCGTGAATCCAAGTAAGATGAAGTCACTGACAGTTTCAACCTATACTAAAGGCTGTATTCTTTGATCTTTGCAACAAGTGCTTCAAGTCTTCCTTACTTTCAGTAAGGTTGTGTCATCTACATAGCACAGGTTATTGATGAGTCTCCCTCCAATCCTGAAGCCATTCTTCTTTATAGAGTCCATCTTCTTGAATAATTTGCTCAGTATACAGACTGAACAGATATGGAGAAAACATACACTCTTGTGTAAGATCCCTTCGAGATCTTAAACCATACAGTGTTACCTTGCTTTGTTTGGACAACAGCTTCTTTGTCTAGGTACAGATTTCATATTAGCATAATTGTTTTGGAATGCCCATTCTTCTCAATGTTAGCCATAGTTTGCTGTGATCCACACAGTCTTTGCCAAGTCAACATAACATAGATAATCTTTTGATATTCTCGGCTTTCAGCCAGGATCCATTAGACATCAGTGACATCCCTGATGCGACAGCCTCTTCTAAATCCAGCTTGATCCTCTGGCTCTTCCCTGTCAATCTCCTGTCATGGTAGTTTTTTTATGATCTTCAGCAGTATTTGCCTGCATGTGATTATTAATGATATAATTTAATAATTTCCACATTCTGTTGTGTCACCTTTCTTGTTAGAGGAGCTGTGGAATCAAAATATATCAAAGATGAAATCAAAGATATCCATGAAGAGAGTAAAAGGTCGTTACTAAGACAGAGGAGAAAGAAAAAGCCAAAATAGATGTCAGAAGAAACTTTGAAAATTGCACTGGAGTGTTGAGAAGCCAAAACAAAGGGAAGAAACGCTGAAGTCAAAGACCTGAACAGAAGATTTCAAAGGGCAGCTAGAGAGGACAAAGCAAAGTATTACAAAGAAATGTTCAAAGAGCTGGATCCAGAGAATAAAAGAGTAAGAACTCGCTCAATATTTCTCAAGGTAAAAGAACTGAAAATTAAAGTCAAGCCTTGAGTTGTAATACTGAAAGATGCCACAGGCAAAATCTTGAATGATCCAAGAATCATTTAAAAAAGATAGAAGATACACAGAATCAATGTACCAAGAATTACTGGTCGACACTGAAAAATTTTAGGAAGCACCTTATGAACAAGAGCCAATGGTAACAAATGAAGGAGTTCAAGCTGTGCTGAAGACACTGGCAAAAAATAAGGCCCCAGGAATAGCTAGGATACTGATTAACATTTTTCACCTAACAGATCAAACCCCAGACATACTCAGCAGTCTACAGCAGGAAATCTTGAGGACAGTTGACTGGCCAACTGAATGGCAGAGAATCACTGTAAAGGTAGTGGTTAGTAAATAATGTCTTGTAATACTTATTAACTATATATAGGAAGCTCACTCAATTCTTAATGAAAGTAACATAGGTGATTTCTGACAAAGGCTTAAGCTGCTTTAAAGTACCACACTCCACTATTTCCTATAGTTAAACACCCTCAACTCTAACCAAAGAAGACTGGCTGATTGTAGAAGTCTGTTTTGAGTTGTTTCTATGCAAGATGAGAAAGTGAAACAAGTGCTTAGAAAATGCTTGCTGGATGCCATCTTGTGGCCAATATTGGATAAAAAAAAAATCATCAAACAGGAATTTAGAGGCATGTCACAAACACATCTAAAACGAGTTCAGAGTTTATTACAAATTTCTAACATTTAAATAAAACAAAACAGGAGTAACTGGAGGGGGACAACAGTAACAACTGACTTCCAATCTTGTTTGGTACATCTTTTTTTTCTTTTTATTCTTAAAATATTTTCAATTAACACCTTCAAAGAACTATGGCAAATTTGTACCCTTGAAATGTAACACACTGGGAAACAGATTTTTTAATAAGATCAAGAACAGAAATATTAAGAAATGATATTCCAACAAATGATCATCTGTGAAGTATTCACCCCAATGGCTTTAACCTGATTTGTGCCTTTGCGTGTGTGTTTTTTAAATATGGAGGCTTGTGAAACTAGAAGGGATGGGAGCTGTTGGTCCGTATTGTTGTTGTGTACCATAGAGTTGGAATGGACGCGTAACTGACCCTCCAGTGGGTTTTCAGAGGTAGTTAATCGCACGGAAGGATACTGCCCGTCCTTTTTCCCACAGAGCAGCTAGTGTGCCACAAACAGCATGCCTCCGGGATTGCAGTGCAGCTTCTTGCCACTAGGCCACCAGAGCTCCCTGTTTAAGAGACTTAAAAAAGACTTAACTACCAACTGCATGGTTCAAAATTGGGAAGGGTGTACGCCAGAGATGCATCCTGTCTCCATACCTTTTCAACATGTATGCAGAGCAGATTATCCGAGAGGCTGGACTCTATGAGGAGAACTGTGGCATCAGGATTGGTGGAAGATCTATTAACAATCTGCGTTATGCAGATGACACAACCCTGCTTGCTGAAACTGAGGAGGACCTCACGCACTTGCTGCGAAGGGCCAAGGACTGCAGCCTTCAGTATGGACTGAGGCTCAATGTCAAGAAGACAAAGATTCTCACCACTGGACCAATTGGCAGCGTCAGGATGGATGATGAAGAGATTGAGAGTGTTCACAGCTTCAGTTTGCTCGGCTCCACAGTCAACACTCTTGGCACCAGCAGTCAGGAAACCAAAAAAGCGTATCGCAATGGGAAAGTCTGCTGTTAGGGACCTCTCTAAAGTACTCAGGAGCAACGGTGTCTCTCTGGAGACTAAGGTGCGCCTGATACAGGCCATAGTCTTTGCAATCACTTGTTATGCATCAGAGAGTTGGACAATGACTAGAGAGGACAGGAGAGTGGATGCTTTTGAGCTGTGGTGCTGGAGAAGAGTACTGAATGTACCATGGACTGCCAGGAAAACAAACAGATTCATCTTGAAGAGGATTAAACCAAGCTACTCCTTGCAGGCAAGGATTCTGGGGCTTTGTCTGACATACTTTGGACATGTTGCTAGGAGGGACGGGTCCTTGGAGAGGGACATCATGCTTGGGAGGGTGGAGGGACAGCGCAGGAGGGGAAGACCCTCTATGAGATGGATTGATTCGGTGACTGGGGTAATCAGGATGGGTGTGTCGGAGGCAGTGCGGTTGGGGC